TTACCCATTTAAGCCGTCTCCAGCCATTATTAGTCTCAAAGTGGGTTCCTCGTCATCGAATTTAAACTTATAATGTTATTCTATGACCTAACGTCGCAGCTCTCTACCGCAGGCAGACTGTTTGTCGTCGACTGAATAATGCGCATGTGCAGTTTTTCTTGGGGAAACATTCTAACTACGCGTGCTTATGCAGCAGGTTCTCGGTCAGAAAGCATATGGTCGTACATACAAAAAAAGCAGAATAATAGTATAGGTTACTCATTCTTCTGCACTTTGTGTTATACATGTTTCTGCAGCGCCACCAAAGCCCATCGGGTAGTAGTAAATACGAAAATCGTAAATGTCTGTCTCGGACCCGATTCTCGGTTTTGAATAGTATGGTAAAGTCGGTTTTTCAGTTCCAATCTATTTTCATTTGCTACAGACTTCTTTTTTTTTTTTTGTAAATTAAAGTTGATGAGGAAGAAATATATTTATCCTCTGTTTCAGAATAACATGAAAAAAAAATACCTAAATTCGAAATTTTAATTTTACTTAAAAAAATAAGTGAAAACCAGTACGGACTTGATACTAAAAGTAAAACAAGTTTATCTGTGCTTAATTTGAATATTTGACACACATTTTATACACTGATACGTGTGCTGATTTAATTTCATTTTGTTTTATGAATGTTTAGGTCTTTCAAAAGTATTCCTCTAGCAAATAAATTAACACCCAGCGTGAAGTGGGACTGTGGTTGAAACTTGGAGAAAAGCCAACTCACGTAACAAAAATGTATGTTATACGTATTTTCTTTTTGTAGGTGTGCAATTTATTAGCATGATAATTTCTTCATTGTTTTATTTCAGTGTTAGAAATTTTACTTTATGTTGCAGTTTTAACTTTTATGATATTTCTGTATTGATATCTGGGCATTTATCAATAGTACAAAGGCATGAAACTGACAGAAATTTCAGTGGTATTCTAGAATTTTTAATGCATGTATTAACATTCATTTTAGCACCCTCTCAACTTTGAAAAGCCCTTTATTGCACCCTGTTTTACAGAGGAATGTGATTAGGATTGTTTTTATTTTAGTGCTTATAAAAGTCAGTTTATTGGTCCTATTTCAGAATAAGTTACAATACATATTCTCTTATTTTCATTCAAACATACAAAACAAAATATTTGTCCACACCAAGTATAAAAAAATGTAAGAAAGAATGATACATTAAACTAGCTATGTTCATTATTAATTTTCTATCAAGTATAAAATGTGTAGGGTGGTGGTATTTGATGGCATGCAGCCATGTTACCTTGTATAGGAGTTTTAACCTTGGCCACTTATAACAATTAATAAAAATGTTTCAGTATTTATGTGTTTCTTCATTTGACTTGTACTGCAATGTGAAGTTCTGCCTTATTATAAGATGTGTCTGATAACAGATGTTTAAACAGTAACTTAATATATAAACAACAAGATAACATTTATCAGTTTATTATTGGTGTCTGGTCAAACTGAACCTTTGTTATTAATGGAGAGCATTAGGAGCTAGTGCTTGGTCCTTGTTGTTGATGTATTTTTATTAATGATGTAGCTAGGTGCATAATTAGTACAATTTGCCGATGACATAAACTGTTGAGTATTTCTACCTATACTGTGGATATTAAAGTACTATGGAATGACTTGAATCAATTCGGACAGATATTTGGCAAATGATCTTTAATTATACCAAGTGCATTTGGGTTATACTTTAGATCATGTATTTAATACAGATAGAAACCCATTTAATAGCACAACTGAAGAAAAAAATCTTGGCATAGTAGTGGATAAGTAACTCAAACCATCAAGGGAATGTAGTAAACCTAATATAGTTTTAAAGTCTATTTATAGACATATTGATCACAAGTCAAAAGAGGTTATTATTGTTGTACAAATCAGTAGTTAGGCCCCATTTTGAATAATGTAAGAAGTTTTGGTCTTCTTATCTAAGAAAAAATATTGACATGTAAATTGTTTGGAGGAGGACAACTTGGATGAATATGGAGATGGAAGGGGTATCTTATAGGGATAGATTAAAACATCTTATTTTCTATAGAGAAAAAGTGTAAGATTAAGAGGTGATGTTATTAAGTTTGCAAGATTATCCAGAAGATCAATATAATAGATGCCTCCGATTTCTTTGTTATATTCTGAAAAGAATAAGATGAGATGACACAAGGTTAAGGCTAGGCCCATTTAGGACAATTGTATTTTTCTAAGAAGGTGTTTTAGCTTCAGAAGTAGTATAGGCCAATACTGTTCAAGATTTTTAAGAGGAGAGAATCAATGATTTCATGAAAAACGAAGGGTGAGTTAGTAACTACTATTATTGTATATGATACAGATCACTTCTAATACTTCTAATAAATTCTTAAGAAGATCACCAAAATAATTATAGAACTGTTGTTTTATAAAAAGAAATAGTAATAAACTTTATATTGGAATCCAGAGTAAACAGAAATGATAAGCGTCAAAAATCCACTGTTACAGCTGACGATTCACATGTGTTTAATGATTGCTTATTTCCATTGTTGCATTTGTGGAACAGAAAAAAAAATTAATATAGATTTGTGTGACAAATAGATTTGAAATGAATTAAAAGTAACATCTGTAAGATTTAATAATGGAGAATAGTCCCTACATGTTGAGAAAACCTCTTATCTGTAGTAAAGGCTTTACTACTTAATGTTGTATAAGGAAATATTAAAGAGTTGTACCTCACTTACTACTTCATAGTGTTGTCAAATTATCAATTTGTTTCTCTTTTGAGAAGACTCTCAATAAAAAATTGTTTTACTTTAAAAGTGATAGAATTATGTAACATTTTTCAATTCTGCTTTGAACATGAAGTTAAAACTCTACATTAATTGCTCTATATTTTAATAATATAAATATTGCCAACTTTCAAACAGCTAATTTTTTGTATAGGAGTTATTGTGAGCTTATCATAAATTATAGTTTGATGTTTGTACTTCTGGTCTTGTATAACAGATATGAACTAGGGATTCATTCACAAGTAAAATTTTTTAGTAAAGTCATAAACACGTAAATGTTTAAATAATTGATAATATAAATAGTACAAAAACTGCTAGAAAGTAAGATAACTTAGCTTAAAATCATAAGTGCCAAAATACTATAATTAACTTAGCTTGTTAGTAGTTTCATTAGTATTGTGCAAGTAGTTAATTTTAGGTAATATATGATAATGTTATTAGATTTAAACTTCTCATTCTAATTATTATTTATTTATTGAAGAATATGAAAATATAGAAGACTGATCATCTTACTAATTAAAGTTTATATTTATTTCAAAATGAGGAATTAAACATCAAAATAAGAAAATATATAAACATTTTAAAGATAAAAGAAGAATAAAGAAGTATTTATTGGAAAATTTTGAGGTTTTCATTGATTGAATAATTTTTTGTAATAACTTTGTAGCAAGAGACAAGCTCTAACTTTTACTTATTTTCCTAGATAGCTTAAGTGCTTCAAGTACAAATATAAAGATAAATGCTGCTTTAACCATGGAAATATTGAACACTGAAATTGAACCCATTACTGATGAGGAGCAGAATGCTTTGTTGGATGTTAACCTGGTTAAGTGTGAAGAAGATGCTATAAAAACATCACGTAGTAGTAAGTTGAAATTTTATAATTTAAATATATTCTTTTCTTGCTGGGATATTTTTCTTTCTTAACATTTTAGTAAATGTTTCCTTTTTCACTCTTGCTGTGGAACTGATTGTTTTCACTACTGATTTAAAATTTGTTATTTATTACGGAATAAAACAGTTTCATCTTTTGACATGAATGCTGAATAGCAATATCAAGAATGTGGCATTACAAAGTCCAATGACAAAAAAACTCCAAACTGTAACAATAATCAAATATTTTATATTGCATATAGCAGCCATAACATGAAGAATGCAACACAAAAAAGTGTTGATGTAATATAGTAATTAGCGTAGAAATTCAAATTTTTAAATTGAGTTAAATATATCTCCATAACATCAATGATACAGCTCTTCTAGCTTCGAGAGTTTTAGTATACATGGATTTTCAGGGTGAGAACAACTTAACTAATTAATATTTCCAAAAATTACCAAAATTAAAGAGTAAGATAACACCTCATCACCAAAATATTTTTAATTCACCTAACTTGTTTTTATATTGAAGTTTCAAAAATAGTTTATATAAACTATGGATAATGTGCACTGAGTTTTTCCAGTGACTTAAGTGAGTTGTTGTTGATCTCTGTATGAACAGCAGAAAAGTCTTCACCTTCCTCAAATGTTCTAATGATTAAAGTAGATTTTTGTCAATCTTCTTTGAGCTGCAAAGTTTCCTTTCACAAAAGTTATGGTGTGAATGCCTTTGCTGCAGAAGCATAATTATAATTCTTTATATTTATCATAATACATTAGTATTAGGCTTGTTTGTTTTTTATAAGTTCTGGTACTGAGTGAAATGTATCTTCAGCAATGGATATGATGGATGTAGTGTGGTTGAAATACTATTATACATTTTTCTTCTCAGAAAAACTGTAACGAATAAAGAATGTAGTGTAAAAAAAAAACCATTAAGCCTATTACTATTACCTTATCACAAATATAATTGAAGTTTTCACAAGTTTTCTAAGGATGAAAAATTGTTTGCAGAATGTCTCCTGGAGATACAGAGTGTCTCTGAAAGGTAAGAATGAACAAAATTTGAAAATAAGCCATGATTAACATTTTTGTATGTCTTTTCCATGTTTCCAAAATTTATATTTACATAGTGTGAGTATCTCTTCAAAGCATTGAGTACTTGCCAGATAACTTGAAAATTTGCCATTAGGTGACTTCTTTGTTTAGCACTACAGTAAGCATCAACCTTGTGGTCTGAGACAGTTCCCTCAAAATGTTTGTGTATGAGAAAAACATTATAATAAAAGGAATGGAATGTTACCAGTTCTATTTAGTTTCACATTCCAAAAAAAATGACCAGAACACAGATGCTACAGACAGAGATTGCAGATTGCAAAGATGATGAGTAGTAAGGAAGTAGAGAAAGAGACACAAATATTTATACTTACATCTAATAGTATCCCTCTGAATTTCATGTTTTGAAGAAATTTAATTTCAATTGGAAAATAGTGTTAGCTATGTGGTATACTCTAGTTCACAGATATCCTGCAGAACAACATGACATGGAGTATGGGTCTATTTATTTTCCAGATTCTGACAGAGTACATCAACAAAGAAGAATCAGTACAACAAATGCACAACAAAAATATTAATTAAAACAAATACAATACACTAATACAAAACAATAAAAGGGCTAGTGTCTTATTTGTAGATCCAGTGACGTATGAGTAAAGAAATCTTTATTGTTTCTTTTGCTAGTCCACTTTGAGCCCTCTGTAAGCTGACAAAAAAAAAAAAAGAGTTAAACTAGAAATAAAAATAACCCCTAAATTTTAAAGTAGAACAACCTCTAAGTCTCAAATTCTGGCTCTTATGTCCAAAATAAAAGCTCTACCTAAAAACCTTTAAGCCAATGAAAATCTCTTTTTTCCAATCTGCATAACAGGGGAGAGTTTGGCTATACATACAAAACACAATAATGAGGCCAGGTTGTTCACACCATGCTTTTCATATATGTGGCCTAGAGCCATATGTATTTGAAGGTAGTGCATAGAATCCCTAGTCTAATACGTTATTCACTGACAGAAACAACAGCTATTACTCTCAAGGCATCACTGTGAAGTAACAGCTATCTTCCCTACAAAAGAACAAACTTGATAAATAAGTGGATCTAGTTCCCACATGCAACTGTAGTTAAGATTAGCCGTATTGTTTACTTTAGCCACTTTATGTCTAAACAGAACTTAGAGAAAATAGAAATTTCAAAAATTTATTTATTAATTAAGGTGATATTTAAAACATGGTTCAGGCCTGTACCACAGCTGTAATACCCAGCAACATTTTATAACAAGGATTTTATTGTGATGTAGAGATGTATATATATATCATACTCAAGCTTGTTTTTACTGACAAAAATAAATTATCCATACCTTTAGCAATTGGGAAAGATGCTTCCATGGAAAGAGGATCTTCACTTTCCATTTTTGAGTTTGGTGTAATAAAAGAGGAAGAAGGAGAAAACTGCATTGAAGTAACAAAGAAGAATGAGGTAGTCTGTAAATTGAAAACTTTACAATTTGATTATTAGGCAAATATGATTTCATGTATGTACAGATCATTTAGACAGTATAGTAGCTGTGATGATAATTATTTGGAATGTTTTTCTCTTGTATCTAATTAGTATTAACAGTATGTGTTGCTATAATATGAAGAAGGTAGATACAAGCAAAAGAAAAACCAAATCATGTCCCCTGTAAACAAAATGAAAGATTTTAATTATTTCAAACCAGCTTTAAAATGAATATGTGATATGGATTTCAGTGTTTGCTCAACTTCTGGAAAGAATATTTAACTAATACATTTTTATGATTTCTTTTTTTTATACATGAAAGCTATGAAAGAGTAGAATGTAAATGATATACACTATGTGTATCAGATCTAAAACTACAGTTCGAAATATTTCAAAAATCTCTTTGAGGTATTGAAAATGAATAGTTTTTAAGTTAAAGGAGGATTAACATTTTCAAACACTACAATGTAAGCACCGTCTCTATGTTCTACTATATACTAAAATCATTTCTCTGTCCGTCATACACACTTTGGGTCAAATTGAGCCTAATTTTTTCTTGCGTAGATCTGAACAAAGCCAACTGATTGTTGTCACTGCTAAATTTCAAACTTTCACTATTGCTTCTCTTTCCACTCACAACAATACAACAGTAGGATCATCACCAGAAATGTATGCATGTGTTGACAGTTTTATTTTTTTTCTGCAGAAGCAAAGAGACATTATAAGTGTTACAGGCTATTTTATTTCTTTCAACACATAGTATTTTTTCATGCCAACACAACAACATTTGGATCATTGCCAGAAGCAAGGAAATATCAAGAACTGTGTGTAATTGTTAATGATTTTTATATTTTCTTCATAGGAGGAAGGACACATTATAAGTGTTATAGGTTGTATTGAACGAAACATATTCACACATGCAAAATAGTTATATGTGTCACTTTCACAACTTCCTTCAATGAAAGTGATCATTATTAAGCTCAGAGACAAAAAACAGTCAATAAAAAATAGTGTTCACAGACATTTTGCAAAGGAATGATTAATAACCATAATTTAGAAATATACATTAGTTTTACGAAACGAAATAGTGAATTTATGAGCAAAGTGAGTTGGGGTGTCCAGTTAAATATGATTTTGAATATATACATGTTTGTGACAAATATTCCCTAAAATTTCTTTGTTTATTTTGTTACATGCAGTAAATAAACTTTGGAGTGACTAACACAGTTAGGAAATACAATATCCTTATTCTTTTTGAAACTACATGTTAATGTGGTCAAAGCATTTATGAAAATAAATATTTTATTGGTAGACAGAAAATATGTCTAAAGAACTACACAAATAAGACTAGTTGGGAAGACTTACATTTTCCACTCTTTGATAGCATTTGTTGTTGTTTTTGATTCATTAAATATGATCTTATTTCAGAACACATTGGTCAAAGTGAAAAATGAGCCAGCTGGTAGTTTTAAGGAAGATAAGGTTGTTTCAGAGTTTAGTGAAAGTGATGACAATGATCTGGATAATTCAAAAGATAATGTTCTGAGTGTGAAAAAAGAAAACGAATTTCAAGAAGATATACAGCAACTTCACTGTGGGTTAGAAGGTACATCTGGTAAGTGCAAATGTTTCCTTGAAATCTGTATTTATTAACACCTGCCATACAAGTCAGCCCAGCATCTTTTAGTACTGAACCTGGGATGGTCAATAGGTGGGTGGTGGGGGTCCATGTTAGAAACTGGTGATTTAGGGTTATTTTAATAGATCTCAATGATTGAATCTCAGCACAATTGTACAATGAAAATATAACATGATTAAATCTGTATGGATTATACTATGGTGGTACCAAACTGGGCACTCTATCATCCTTCTTTCATTTTGGCAAGTATGATATGAGAATCCCAAGGAAAATCATCTTGTAATGCATCGTGTATCTGCTTCAACTTCAATACTGCATCGTTCGGCTTTACTGTGCCACAAGTTTCACAAAATATTGAAACTAATGATTTCATATATATATAATTCCAATCCTTTTTGAAGATAGCAGTACTGTTGTGCCCATTGTTTTATGTTTCACTGTCAATGCAATAATCAATTGACAAATCTCCAATTCAACTAGTATATAAAATTTATTGGGATAGCTTCGAATAAGTTCTCCCTCATCTGACCTGGACCCTCAGTTTAGCTTAATGGAGACACTTAAACCATCACATTCACAACCACATCTAGAACATTTCAAGCATATTTAATTGCTAAACTGTTTTACTTTACATTTACAAGTTAACTTTTCCATGTTGGCTCTCATGGTCTTGGATATAGTCACGGGTACAGTCACATGTCTGGTCCAGCAACCTGGACCTCGAAACTAGTGCCAAACTTCTTCTTTTTGTCTAAACAATACAATACAAACCTTTCCTGAATTACTCATTTTTTTGGATCCACATCAAGATACATGTTGGCTCTTGTGGCAGGTGCAACTTGTGCAAGGCTGTATGGGCAACAATACATACTGTAACTCTGAGATTTCTAATGAATCCTCACAAAAACTGGTCAGATTTTATTAAAGATTATAAGTATCTTGTACGCAAAGAATGACATTATTTTAATTAAGTGTTTCCACTAAAATATCTTATTTATCTATTGTAGTTATTTGCACTCAAACTTAAAAATACTTTTCTTCGTCTTATAGCTTTCATATTTAATTGCATAACCTCTAGAACCTACTAAATGAATATTGAATGTGATTTTATGGTAAATTTTTATATTTTATTTTTCATTTTCTCTACGATATCACTAACTGTAGATATTATCATCAACATACAGTGCAATGAAATGTATAAAATTAAGAAATATAAAAATGTACATTCCTTTTTAATTTGTCATATAATATCATAAAATATCTTCTTTTGGTTATATTCGTAATTTCAGGTGTTTTCATTTTCACATATAGTTAGTTTTTTATGTTTTATTTTCGTTTCCTGGCCTTTACCTTTATTAGTCATCTCTGCACAAATCAACAGTGCCCTAGGGGCATAATTATGGTATCTTCAGCAGAGATGCACAAGCCTTCAGTAAAATTATCTTCCCCTCATGCAAGATCTTAAGGCTTGAGAACTGAAGCAAAGTATGATGTATATTTTTTAAATATTCAAACCTTTCAATTATGCATTTTAAAACATAAATAATGCATAGTTAACTAAGATATAAAAGTAAGACCTAAATACAATTTAACTGTTTCTCTAACTATAACATATTTAGCTATGAAAAAAACTGTAAGTTCTATCAGGGATTAAGCAGCCAACAATACTACAGGCAGTTAGATCTACCAGATGACAACAACTGCACACCAATTTCAAAATAACTGTTGGAGGATTATAGCATAAAATGAGCTCTTTCTAATGACTATATACATGAATATGTAGTAACTACATATAAGTTATAAAACTCAAGCAAAAATATAGAAGGTGGTTGTGGCACCCATCAGAGGTTGACACAATTTATTACTTATTTCTACTCCATTCAACGAGAGAACTTTGAAACTTATGTGTCATTAGAGCAAGTTAAAGTACTTAATTGTCTAGACATATATCTATAGCACTGGTATATCTAAGTCAAGATAGGAAGTGTGAAAGTTAATATTTTTCATAGCTCGTGGGTCATGTGACAACACAAAATTGAAGTTTAAGTATTTGATAAACATTTCTTTCGAACTAGAGGAACTTAAACTTAGGTGACATAAAACTTTGAATCATAAAATATATTATAATGATAATATCATTCACATACATTGATAGTAAATTTTTTAAATAAATTTTGAATGTAACTCAACAACTTACACAGAAAAGTATTTATAGAGATAACTGTCACAAAAGGATTAATACTGATTTCAAAAAGTTATTTTTTTCACACTGAGTTAAATCTTAGAAATTATGTAAAAAATTAGATAACAACAACTGCATGCTACAGAATTAACTTAAGGATACGTAGATCAATATTTGATCTGTTTAATAATATTTATACTATCATCATTTACTAGATGTTCCCAAGTAGATACTGAGAGAAACCTCAACCTTATAAATTGAACTACTTTGGTTACAGCATCATTAAAAGGTCCATACTTGTAACAATCCATGTATTTAAGGTGCAAAAGCACAATCTATGTTTTGAACACAAGCTACATAGGAGTATTTATTCCATGTTCTCCAACAAAGTATGATTCAAATTGGATGTTTTTACATCTTAAATACAAAAAGTATTTTCTTGTTGAGTTGCTTTCATGCTGTCAAAACCATGTGACTTCAAATTCTGCTTTCCCACTATAAACCAGCTTTTATTATTGATTGCTCTTACCTCCAATCACTATAATTTTAATGTTGCTAATGTTCCTACTAATATCAGAAGTTTTACAACTTCTTGAGAGGTGTTACTCATATCGTCTGCCTCTAGAATGCATGGAGATCCCATGACTGTATTGTTGGCCTTTAGTGATGATCAGTGTATGCAGACTCTCATTTCTGCTTTGTCTGCTGGCAAGTTTTATGTTCATATGGATGCACAGTGTTGTTCATTATGTGAAAAACAGGATTTGTCAGATAGCCCTAATTTTAAAAAAAGCTTTCTGCTGGTGTAGTTTCTCTATTTTTTTCAGTTGTTATATTTGAAGTTTTGAACTGATATTTGTGCTGGAAGATGCTAACATCATGTTGGATAATTCAGCTTTTAAATATTTATATTGTTCGTATTTTCTTGATTTTTTAGGGTCATTGTCGATGCTTTTTTAAATCATCTAAATGTTGATAGCCGTTTAGTGAGGTTATCTTCTTCTATTCATCTTACTTCTCAACTGTTTGACTCTGAGATATATTTTTTTCAAAGTAATTATTAAATATTAGCTACTCTCATTCAATGATTTTTTTTTAGTCAAGATGAAATTTTTACTGTGTAGTCTATCTACGTTGCACTTCTCAGATGTGTAGTTTCTATTATCATGTGGTTGTTATGTTTCTTTCACATCTTAGCACATTGTGCTCTAACTTTTCAGAGTTTCTTTCCTGCATCAATTACATATGCAGAGGAATTTTCTTCTGCATTAGTCTCATTCAAAAGAAGCATGCTAACTGGAGCTGATTAGTTTTAGCATTTCGACTCACTTGTGTTAGTTATTCTTTTGAGATGACCAGCAAGTAATGTTTGTTCTCCTTTCCTGTCTCTCTCATCTACTTCTACTACCTTTGAACTCTACTGAATGACCACACATAAAAATTAAGTGAGTCTTCTTGACCAACTCATTGACTCCCTTCTTTTCCATATGAATTGCCCATCAGGACTGTTGCAGAAGTTGTCATGGATCATTGACTCTTGTGTGGGGCCTTTGGATTTTATATCATTTGGTTTGACAGATCCTTCAGCCTATAGTCTTTACATTTTTCCTCTTCTTTCCAGTCCAGTTTTTTTAAACATTCTGGATCAAGAAGTCTCAAATCTCTTTCAGAAAGAAGTCAAAATCATTTATTAAACTTCTCTAGGTTTTTACTCCAGTCTCTTTGTAGTTCCAAGAAATCTGGAGATTGGATTAGAGACTTGTCATAAAATCTTCTTTTCTTGAAGACACCTCATTTTCTAATTGAAAAACGTGAGGTTCTTGTTGAATTCTCCTTGTCATAGCCTTTGGATGCAGATGGTGGATATACAAGATACTTTTTTTTTTATTCATATACATAGTTTTGCTGCTCTTCTCCATTTAGTCACCATAGACTTTTACATGGATGATTGGCTTATTTTGACCATTTCATCCATTCAGTCTCTTAAATACATTCATTTGGATACCAAGCTGGCCACATCTATTGGATAGATCATCAATCACTTTAGTTTCCATTGAATACCAACACAGTATTCGGTACATCTAGTGGTTTGGATCAACACAACTCTGGGAACACTTCAGCTTTTTCTGCGACATGTCAAACCTTGGAGTCTTGTACACATATTGCTAAAGACATACTTTCTGCTTTGGGAATGATGGCTTCACCTCATTTTGTTATTCCATTGGGATGAACTCACAGGAGACACCTACAATGGGACCTAATATTTTCTTGTATATCTTCAAATCTTCAACAAATTGCTTCTTTCTTCCATATCAGGTTACAGTGCTGCATTTTCTGCTACTTTCAGAGGCCATAGAAGCCGTCAGCTTCTCTTGCCTATATTAATCAATGATCTCTTCCAAGCCTTTTGTCTTCAATGACCCCATGTTTATAGACACTGTTCTAAATGAGCTTAGTACTTTTATATTTCTTGGCTACTGTCCACTTTGAACCCTTGGTCATTTGTTTACTTTATCATCTATCCTTCAAAATATTTTTATATTGCTTGCATCAGAGGACTTTTGAAAGCTATACAACATTGCTTCACATATCTTGGTTTTTTGGCAGGTCCTATATTTGTATCCAGTTCATGCCTAAACTTGAGCTGCAAGAGAAGGTAACCATTATTTCTAACTTAGTGTATTTCTTGCCTTATCTAATCCTGATTCTTGTTCTAAAGAAATGTTTTACATTCAGTCAGGGCTATCCTTTTTTATCCCTCCCACACTGGATCTTTGAGGAAGACTCAGAAAAT